TGAGGCTCATCATCGATTGATTATTCATATGTCGCGGTTGCGCCATCGACCCGCACTTCAGGGGGCCGCCCTGGTTGACTCTACTGTATGCAGCGCTGTGCGGTAATTTATCCAACTAATCGATTTAAAAAATTTTAAAACAACTTTATCGAATTATACATAGCAACCGCCCGCGGACACGTGATTTTAAACCAATCACGACACAGGATCAGGTGTAACGTGAAAACAAAACAAATTGCCGGCTTTTTTTAAAAAATCATCCATTAGCAAAAAAAATTCCTTATCCTAACGTCAAAATAATGACCCGAGTGTACCCGAGTTGATACAAAGTTTTAACAATTTTAGAATCCTGTGATTGGTTAAAATTTGTTATTCTTAATTGACAAAAATAACCAATGATCTATGTCATTTGTCACTAATTTGTCATTTGTCACTAAAATTTGAAATGCTGATGTATAATACTAAACGATTAATCATCAAAACTAGTACAGTTTCGATATATTCCGTCTAATCTGGCTGTTTCGTGTTGAAATCTTTGGTTTGATTGGCTAATCACTTAGTGAGATCATGTGATATGAAAATCGATTAGTTGCAACTATAGTTGGCAACTAATCGATTGGCAAAATTTTTATCAACTCGGAACACTACACAAAAGATGTATTGATGATCAAACACATCTTATCGAAGAGATTAGAACAGATTAACTTACACGTATTTAATCATTGAAGGGTAAGGTGAACGATAGTTGATCAATTTACAGGTTTCCCTTTTCCATCACTCATATGATAAACGATAATTAGCAATAATTGACACCATGTGTCGTTCTAGATAAATTTCAAATAAGGGTCTGGTGCCTCTCAGCTTTTCGTAATTATAAATCAAATATAAGGAAGTTTTATTTTGAATTACATGAATGTAATGGACATGTACTTTAGTCCAAGTTGGCAAAGCAATAGAACCTAGTAACCGTGATAAGCTTGATTCTCAAATAATAATTGTGAAATTCCTGAATGAGGTACACATTTTATAAAATTAGATGCCTACGAATGAGATTTTGCATGTACAGTACCGGACAGTAAAACGCAGCCAATGTTTATTAGTAAAAACTTTAAAGTTTATATGAGTTCAAAAAATTGGCGTTTAATATAGAAAAAAGAAAAACATATATTTTTAACCAATCAGAATCAATTACACAAAAAATTAGCCAATCAGAATTGATTATATAAGCATCAAAAAATTGGCGCCTATATCGATATGTATAGATTGGATGTCTTTTACTGCCCATTATATATGTCAGATTTTGTAGTTGGATGTTCAAGCAGCACTAAAAAATTTTCTTTGTTCGAATTTTCACAACCTTTGAGAGAAGATATCTTGATAATGCTCTGCTCATTTTAAATAGCGAAATTTGTTATTAGGCTATAATTGAGAAACATTTAATCAAAGTTTGATGGCCATATCGATATCAGAACTTTAATAGATCAAATAAGTAATTTTTACAATTTACCCAAAGATATTTGATTCAGTGTTGAAAGATGTCTGTCATGCACTTTTGGAACTGCGTACACGTTTGTTTGGTCGAACTTGCTGCTGGAATTAATAAGAAAATACGTTGATGATTTAAATTATTCTTTCGTTATAATGGATTTTATTCTTACTGGGCTGTCTTGGATAAGCTTTGTAGGCTTGTTGAACCTGGTAGCGAACCATATAAACCAAAGAAATGTTCAAACAATATTATAAATTTGGTTGGTTGCAGGCAGTTGTAAAATGACAAAAGTGCAATATCTGTATTATCATCTATCGTTATTTCAGCCATTTTTTTTTTTTGTAATAATTCTGTAAAAATTTGATATCTCTTATTTTTAATAGTTAGTGTACTATTATCAATATAAGGTTTGAAAATATGTATATTATGTTCTGGGGGTGCCGGTCAAAATCCCGACAAACAAAGGTCATAATCCCGACAAAAAAATCCCGACAGTCAGAATTTTCAAGTAGAAATTCCGGTATTTAAAGCGAAGTATATAGCCTCTTATAATTTAGTTATCACTTTAGATAAGAGTTAGGCTAGGATTAGCTATGGTTTATGATATTTTTTCATCAGAATTTTTAATTTTCGGGATTTTTAACTGTCAGGATTTTGGCTGTCGGGATTTTTTTGTCGGGATTTGCTTGTCGGGATTTTGACCCAAACCCATGTTCTGATATGTTTCGTGCTGATGCATTTGATCAATGAAACGAAATGCTATTTATGGAAGGATCACTAATCAGATTCTTCATTACAGAACTTTATAAACTATTGTTATTAACATGTTTTCATGCTCATAATGGCTACACTGAAACTGATCCTGTTTAAATAGTGTTGAAAATTTTCAAAAAGATGGTTTTGAAATAATGATTATAGAAGACATAAATACGAAGCAGAGCTATTTGAAGAAATGAAACAAAGGATCTTGTGCAGTATAGGTGACACCATTATGCACATTTTGTATTTATGGCAGGTAGTCTAGATATTTGAAAAAAACCGGGCTTGATTAATGTATATATATATTATTTAATTAATTTACTTAAAATAGGTGTCATCTGTACTGCACAAGATTGAAACAAATTGCCGCTGTAGTTGTAAGTTACGTTTTGAAATCATAATCATATCATTATTATTACAAAGTTATCCTCATTTAGAACCCTGAAAATTTTATTTCGTAATGGATGGAACAATTGGTCAGACTACTGAATCGCATTTTACGAAGCTGCAGACAAAACTAGTCATGCAAAATGGTATGGGTTTATGTTATACTCAAACAAAGTCGTTTTAAACTTTCTTTTCCCATTGATATTGTTAAAATATACTTAGAGTGTCACGAAAACACATAGTCCAATTATTTTTGATGGTACTGGCGAACACATTGGCTTTTGAAAAATTTTGAACCAAAGCGATTTGTACAAAAAATGTTGGGTTAGTTTTGGTCTTAATTTGTTTTGAATATTATTAAATTATCATCATTAATAGCGATAAATGTATTTTATATTGATAATCTTTAAAAAAGTATGTGTGGCATGACCGATCTTTTTGAACTGGTACATTAGGGTCCGGCTCGCAGGTTTTTTTTTGGAAGTTAATCTGATCCGCATCCTAAAGTGTTGGACACATGAAAATTATCATATGACTAGCATTTTACCCATTCTAATTTATAGACTGATGATTATAATGAACAGTATAATTCTGATGGTAAAATTTTTGTACAACGGGTGATTGAAAAGCTTTTGGTTCCACATAAGGAATTTCAAGGAATGGTCAGAAAGTTTGGATTGTTCAAAGATAAGAAACAAAAATTCATATGTTTGAACACATTTAACATTAACTAACATCTTGCGCTTAAAGGAATGGTTTCGGAATATACAGAAAATTCATATTATTTCATAAGTTTCTTCGTGGTACGTATACCCAGTGTATGAAATTGGGTTGCGGAGCTTGCGGACCGCAAATGATTTATAAGCTTCCGCAACTAAAATCTGAAATGTATATACTGGTCCCGCAAATGATTTATAAGCTTCCGCAACTAAAATCTGAAATGTATATGCTGGTCCCGCAATAAATTTGCATACGTATAGATATGTTCGAATTTGCATATTAATACATTCATATGCGCCATATAATCCGCAAGTAAAGTTTTTTTTTATTTAGTTGCGACCCGCAACTAAATTAAAAATTGAATTTCAGACACTGCGTATACCAGATGTTAATACTATGATGCGACAAATGGTTAGTTGTATTTTAAGCATAATTGTCGACGATAAGATTTATAATTGTTATTACTAACTTTCAATAATGTGAATATATAGTTATATATTTATTAACATTTGTTGAATTTATGAAACTTAGGATGCTCTCAAGCATCTCTCTCAGTGTAATTGGTTAACTATAGTGATCGTGCACAAGTACTACGATCAATTGAAGTAAACCTTACGGTAATTTTGTCGAAAATTCATGTTGCGAAACGCGGATATTAAATTTTAGCCAATCAGCAAAACTCT